TCAAGGCACGGACACAGAGACAAGTGGACACACACACACACGACCGGACGCACAAACAGTCGGACGAGCCGGACAGACGGACATACAAAACGGACGGTCCGACGAACAAACACGGCGCAGATAGGCGGACAGGCGGACAATATCCACACTTAGACAGACGCACAGACGCACAGACTCGCGCGCAAGAAGTGAACATTCAGACCCAGAGAAGTGAAGGCGCTGGAGCGCGAGAGTGGCAGAGGCGCTCTCGCACCCTGCTTCTCTCGCCCCCTCACTCCCTCCCCTTGCTCCCTCTCTCTCTCTCTCACCCGCTCCCCTCCCTTTCCTCCCCTCCCTCTCGCCCTCTCTTTTTTTTTTACGATCAGTGGAAACAAGAAGATGCTCGGTGTAGTCGGCGCTTTGCTTCGTTCATCATTTCGTATTTTTTTTATTTTTAAACTTAGCTTTATGTAAACCCCCACATCTCGCTCACTCTCTCGCTCTCTTTCTCGCCCACTCTCTCGCTCACTCTCTCGCTCACTCTCTCGCTCACTCTCTCGCTCACTCTCTCGCTCACTCTCTCGCCCACTCTCTCGGTCACTCTCTCGCTCACTCTTTCGCTCCCTCTCTCGCCCACTCTCTCGGTCACTCTCTCGCCCACTCTCGGTCACTCTCTCGGTCACTTTCTCGCTCACTCTCTCGCCCACTCTCTCGGTCACTCTCTCGGTCACTTTCTCGCCCACTCTCGGTCACTTTCTCGCCCACTCTCGGCCACTCTCTCGGTCACTTTCTCGCTCACTCTCTCGCCACTCTCTCGGTCACTACTCTCTCGGTCACTCTCTCGCTCACTCTCTCGCCCACTCTCTCGGTCACTCTCTCGCCCACTCTCGGTCACTCTCTCGGTCACTTTCTCGCTCACTCTCTCGCCCACTCTCTCGGTCACTCTCTCGGTCACTCTCTCGCTCACTCTCTCGCTCACTCTCTCGCTCACTCTCTCGCTCACTCTCTCGCTCACTCTTTCGCTCCCTCTCTCGCCCACTCTCTCGGTCACTCTCTCGCTCACTCTCTCGCCCACTCTCTCGGTCACTCTCTCGCCCACTCTCGGTCACTCTCTCGCTCACTTTCTCGCTCACTCTCTCGCCCACTCTCTCGGTCACTCTCTCGGTCACTCTCTCGCTCACTCTCTCGCTCACTCTCTCGCTCACTCTCTCGCTCACTCTCTCGCTCACTCTCTCGCTCACTCTCTCGCTCACTCTTTCGCTCACTCTCTCGCCCACTCTCTCGGTCACTCTCTCGCTCACTCTCGCTCACTCTCTCGCTCACTCTCTCGCTCACTCTCTCGCTCACTCTCTCGGTCACTCTCTCGCTCACTCTCTCGCTCACTCTCTCGCTCACTCTCTCGCTCACTCTCTCGCTCACTCTCTCGCCCACTCTCTCGGTCACTCTCTCGCTCACTCTCTCGCTCACTCTCTCGGTCACTCTCTCGCTCACTCTCTCGCTCACTTTCTCGCTCACTCTCTCGCTCACTCTCTCGCCCACTCTCGGTCACTCTCTCGCTCACTTTCTCGCTCACTCTCTCGCTCACTCTCTCGCCCACTCTCTCGGTCACTCTCTCGGTCACTCTCTCGGTCACTCTCTCGCTCACTCTCTCGCTCACTCTCTCGCCCACTCTCTCGCTCACTCTCTCGCTCACTCTCTCGCCCACTCTCTCGCTCACTCTCTCGCTCACTTTCTCGCTCACCTCTCGCTCACTCTCTCGCTCACTCTCTCGGTCACTCTCTCGCTCACTCACTCAATCACTCTCTCGCTCACTCTCTCGCTCACTCTCTCGGTCACTCTCTCGCTCACTCACTCAATCACTCTCTCGCTCACTCTCTCGCTCATTCTCTCGCTCACTCTCTCGCTCTCTCACCCCCTCCCTCCCCTTCCTCTCGCCCTCTCCCCTCGCTCTCTCTCCCCGGGCCCCACGATTCACGCGCTCCGCCGCCGCGTGAATCGTCGCGTTCGATGGCGTCGCCTTCTCCAAATAGCCGAGCCCTTCTCACGCTTCGTGACCACGGCCTATAGCCCATAGATCCCCATCACGGTGGCGGCGGGGGGGGAGACGGGGAGCTTTGCATGCAGATATGAGCTGCCCGTCGGAGGCCGTAGGACTGCGAGATGGGCTGGGTGCAGATGCAGCACTTGTCGTCGTAAAAAACAAAAATTACAAATATTATATAGAAAACAGGGGGGACATAGAGATGGGGTAGGGAGAGAGGGGGGGGGGGTAGAGAGAGGGGGTAGAGAGAGAGGGGAAGGGGTAAGAAGGAGGAGAGCACAGCGTGAAATATTTTGTTAAATCTTTCATTTAAAAACGGGGGGGGGGGGGCACATAAAGCAAAGCAATGAAAAAAAAACCGAAATGATCAACGAAGCAAAGTTCAGACTACACCGAGCATCTTCATGTTTCCTCTGATCGTAAAAAAGAGGGGGGAGAGGGAGGACGGGGTCTGTAGGGGGAGGGGCAAGGGGGGAGAGGAAGATTGGGGCCGGGCGCCACGGTGAGGAAATGTTAACTACCTCGCCTGGAATGCGGGAGGTCGTGGTTCGATCCCGACCATTGACGCCTGCTGTATATTTGGAGGTTGGGTGTCTCTCTCTCATCGTCATTACGGTGGCTAGGAGATGTTAACTACCTCGCCTGGCATGCAGGAGGTCGTGAGTTCGAGCCCGACCCCTGACGCCTGCTGTGGACTTCGGTTTTTCCCCTCCACATTTAAAATCAACATCACGCGTTCAGAGTATTTGGCTGAAATAAATGTCCACGTGATAAGCCCACTTCGTCGACCTATCATTTGTGGCCAGGTCGCTTCTAAAAAAGAGCTACACGGTTCAGTGGGGTCTTACTTGGTAAAAAAAATAAAAGTGTGATGAGAGGATGACAAGGGTGGAAGACGGATGGGGAGAGACGTCACGACTGTTCTAGATTTAAGGATGGTTGGCTGTTTCAGATTTTCATCAGCTGGAAGATATTCCTAATGGGATTCGAGCATATTTCGCATTAATATTACATGTGGTGCATGCGTGTGTGTGTGTTTATTTACAATGGGCAGTGGTGTTGTAGTGGTTAGCACAGTGCGTTACGTATGTCTGTTGAACTTCTTTCGCACCGTACGTCGCCAACCGTGCTTATCGGAGCTGCATGAGGAGTGAGCGAGAGAGTGAGCGAGAGAGTGAGCGAGAGAGTGAGCGAGAGAGTGAGCGAGAGGTGGGGTTTACATAAAGCAAAATTATTTTAAAAAAAATACGAAATGATGAACGAAGCAAAGTGCCGACTACACCGAGCATCTTCTTGTTTCCACTGATCGTAAAAAAAGGAGGGAGATAGGGAGGGGAGGGAGGGAGATGGAGAGAGGTCTGAGCAGGGATGGTGGAAGGAAAGCGTGTGGTTGGCATTGCTGTTTATAGATTTCCATCAGGTAGAACCACGGGGAAGATGGAGCGGTGAGGGGAGGGGGTAACTTTGGGGGGAGGCGGGGAGAGGGAGGTGGTAGATGGGAGGGGGTGAGAATGACTTGGACTTGCACGGAGGTAGGGAGGGGATGGTGGATAGTGTGCGACGACGTGGAGAGATGAGAGAGAGAGAGGTGGAGAGAGAGAGAGAGCACCAACAATTGAAGGCGAAGGAGGCGGGCATGGAGATGTAACTGGAGGAGATGCGGGGTGGGTGGTGGGGGGGTAGGGTGAGAATGGAGACGTGGTGTCGGAGGCGAAAACAGTGGAGACGTGGAGAGAGGAAAGAAGACCTGAGAGCGAGGAGAAGAGAGGAGATGACAGAAGATGGAAGATGAGATGGGGAGCGGCGGGGGTGGGGGAGAGGAAAGAACAGGAGCCGGAGGGGGGTGGGGGGAAGGCAACGGTTGGCAGAGGAGACGAGAAATTCGTCCGGGGCCTTTTAAATCGAGAAGGGTTCTGATAGCCGGGGGCGCAAAGGGTGGTGGTGGTGGGGGGCTTTGTGGGGCTGGCCTAGAGAAGGGGGAGGGGGCTTTTGTATGGGGTCACAAGTCCCCTTGGGTCCCCTTAGCTGCACGATTTCACGGAGTGATTTGTGAAGCACCGTGTGCGTGTGTGTGTGCGGTGACCGCTCTGTTAAGGGGCCTGTGGGGAGCAGTGACGAGGGCGGTTTTGCGCAGTGCAATACACAGACCTGGATACCTAGGTTCACGTCCAGGCCACGGATAACATCAGTACGCGGGTTGACATACTGCATGGATGTGTACGTGCGTGCGTGCGAATCAATAGGTCCTGTTGCACCGCCTTTAAGGACCCTCACTGACCAGAGTGGGGAAGTATGGTCAAACACCCCCCACCCCCCCACAACCCACTCCATGCATGGGCGGGACGGCTGGGGAGGATGCCTTCATCATCCAGCAGTGGATTGACAAACACAAGAGCTATCAATGTAGACGCCGTACATTTCCACAGAGACTCAGAAACCTATACGCATCCTCGTAAACAACGCAACGCTTTCGTCAATAAAAGTGTGGCCTTCAAATTAGAACAAATGTATGCTAGGCGACGTTTCGGACAATGGACCTTCTTCGTAGCACACAAACGGAGGCTATTACTCCGAAACATTGCGAATTCGACGTTTTGTTTTTCATTTTGAAGATAACATTGATAATTACCCACGATGCATTTAGCGGCTTTCAAATTATTAATCTCAAAGGGCTGTACATCGCAGGCTTACAAAAGAAACAACCAAATGAAATGTAACGATGACAACAACCAGTTCAAAAATAAAACCCCCATCAGAATAGCAATAAAACCAAAACTACAGCGAGGAGCATTATCGGTGGGACCCTGGGAAGCCACGACAATAAGGAAAAAGAAGTGGTTCAAAATATGTCACAATCTGCATAAAATCTAATCAATTGACAAATGCATTGGGTTGTTCGTCGTCGTCGTCGTTGTTATTAATGCAGCAGCAGCAGCAGCAGCAGCAACAGCAGCAGCAACAGCAGCAGCAGCAGCGGCAGCAGCAACAGCAGCAACAGCAGCAGCAGCAACAGCAGCAGCAACAGCAGCAGCAGCAACAGCAGCAACAGCAGCAGCAGCAGCAACAGCAGCAGCAACAGCAGCAGCGGCAGCAGCAGCAGCAACAGCAGCAGCAGCAACAGCAGCAGCGGCAACAGCAGCAGCAGCAGCGGGCATCGCCGAATACTTTGGTCAGCAGAGACTCGCAGACCTACTGAGCCACAGAGCTCGGGGTTGCATAAGCGTCCGGGTTTGACATCCCCGTTCGCGGATTCTGTGCTCGGGTGGCAAGCGTTGATGTTGTGTCCGTGATCGTGTCCGTGGCGTTGCGTTGAGCTTCGTTTTAGAAGCGCACTGCACCGTTCTCGTAGTGCTGACCGAGTGATACCCAGAAAAAACTGTGAATATTTTTTTTGTTATTTTACCAGTTAAGGACCACTGAACTATATATCGCTTTTTCAGAAGCGATTTGGCCACAAATGATGGCTCAACGCGTGGAACTTGATGGCAACGAATTATTACTGGTAGGAACCCACTGGTTCCACCAGCACACAGGGGATTATTGTGTCTGTCCGTCCGTCGTGAAGGGAGGGGCTGGGTGGGGAGGGGAGGATGGGGAGGGGCTGGGTGGGGAGGGTGGGGCTGGGTGGGGAGGGTGGAGTGGGGAAGGTGGGGAGGGGCTGGGTGGGGAGGGTGGGGAGGGGCTGAGTGGGGAGGGTGGGGGTGGGATTGGTGGGGCTGGGTGGGGAGGGGCTGGTCACCCCGTGGTGCCCTTATGAAACTCAACGTTTAACCTACTCACGCCGGCTTGTGCCCGCCCTCACAGTCGGGCATATTTTCGGAATACACCACGCCGCCGTTGACCCTGGAAATTGACCGAGCAACCCAACAACGTTCCTACCAGCTCCCTCCGCAGGAAAGTTTTTTAAACGCTGTGTTGTTGATTCTAAATGTGGAGGGGGAAAACCCAGAAGACCCGGAAAATCCACGCGACCACGGGGAGAACATGCAAACTCCAAAATATACAGCCGGCGTCTGGGTCGGGATCGGACCCACATCCTCCTCCAAACCAGGTGAGGTTCAAGTTCAAGTTCATTTATTAGGTATAGCCCTGTGAGCCATTCGGCTCTTGAATCGGGTGCAACCGCAACAAACAAAAAACAAAAACATGAACAAAAAACATCTTAAAGTGAATATGTGACTAAGTGCAAACAGAAAATCCAAGAAAAGACAGCAAAATATTGCAGAAAAAAATCACCGTACACCAACGCTGTGTGCAAAAATCCCAGTGGGATGCAAGTCAACCAACCAACAACAACCACAAGACAACCTAGATTAAGGCCATCAGTCTAACTCTGTTCTACAACAAACAAATATGGTTAAACCATCTCGCCACCGCGGTGCCCACGTGAAATGCTGGGCCAACGTTGTGGTAACGTTAGGCAACGTTAGGCAACGTTGGGCCAACATTGGGAACAACCGCATTCCAGCGTTGGCATGTGAACTGGGTATGCATGTCCGGGTTTGATCTACAAAAAAGGTTGAAGCGCTTTCCATCCCCGCGGATTTATATACAACTATTGTACAAAATCGATTCGGCTACATTCTGATATGTCTCTCGATATAATTAAATATATATAGAACATGGAATATTGTCCACAACGACGCCAACAGCATGCAGAGAGACCCATGCTGACCGTGCATTTATACAGACTTATATAACTCTATAACTTGAATTGTGATTATTCTGGGCAGGCGAATCGATTAAAATTCGATTATTCTTTTTTTGCGTACGCGTATCGATGTTTTTTTTGTCTCATCCGTCTCGTTTGAATTGTTGTTGGGCTCCTTTTATTAAATATCCCACCACCAACACCGCAAACACAACAACAAAACACCCGTGTAGCCTTAACAGACTTTTGGGGCAAGTGCTGTAAGCGAGTAGCACCCATGGAAGCCGTAACGGCCAGCACCACGCCCGGCCGCGTTTGTCTCTCTCGTGGCGATGTTAACTACACAACATCGCACCAGGTACCTTATTGAAGGCTGAGTCGACCTAGGGGTGACCCACCCCACTTGCAAACCCTCTATTACGCATGCGCTGTAGACTTCCGCCCTCTGCCGGCCAAGTGTAAGTTGCAGTCAATGCGCTCACGTGAGTGTGGCTGCATTTGCGTGTGTGTATGTACGTGTGTGTCTGTGTGTATGTATGTGTGTGTCTGTGTGTATGTATTTGTGTGTCTGTGTGCGTGTATGTAATTTTGTGTATGTACGTGTGTGTCTGTGTGTATGTATGTGTGTGTATGTACGTGTGTGTCTGTGTGTGTATGTGTGTGTGTATGTATTTGTGTGTATGTGTGTGTATGTACGTGTGTGTCTGTGTGTGTATGTGTGTGTCTGTGTGTGTGTGTCTATGTATGTGTGTGTGTGTTTGTGTATATATGTGTGTGTCTGTGTGTGTGTGTGTTTGTGTGTGTATGTATTTGTGTGTCTGTGTGTATGTATTTGTGTGTATGTGTGTGTATGTACGTGTGTGTCTGTGTGTGTATGTGTGTGTCTGTGTGTGTGTGTCTGTGTATATTGGTGGGGAGCGGTAGTGTAGTGGTTAGCGCGCTGCACTATGAACCTGGCGACCCGGGTTCAATTCCCGCTCACGGCAAACACCAGTGACGATTATTTGAACCGGTCCTGGGCCTCCCCTAGGTCGACTCAGCCTCAAATGAGTACCTGGTGCGGTGTGTAAACATCGCCGCTAGGGAGACAAAGGCGGTCGGGCGTGGTGCTGGCCACCCACCCCCTCGTGTACCGTTCCGGCCTTCATAGGTGCTCGCTAATAGCACTTGCCCCTACAGTCTGTTAAGTCTATACGGGAGATCTTTGTGTTTGTGTATATATGTGTGTATATGTACGTGTGTGTCTGTGTGTATGTATGCGTGTGTCTGTGTGTGTTGGGTGAGCGGTAGTGTAGCGGTTAGCGCGCTGCGCTACGAACCCAGTGGCCCGAGTTCGATTCCCTCGGTGACGATTATTTGAACCGGTGCTAGGTAGACTCAGCCTCAAATGAGTACCTGGTGTGGTGTGTAAACATCGCCAGTGGGGAGACAAAGGCGGTCGGATGTAGTGTTGGCCACCCCACCCCCTGGTGTACCGTTCCAACCTGCATAGGTGCTACTCGCTAATAGCACTTTCCCCAAGAGTCTGTGAAGGCTATACGGGAATCTTTGTCTCTGCATGTGCGTGTGTTTATGTGTGGGGAGCGGTAGTGTAGGGGTTAGCGCGCTGCGTTACGAACCAAGCGATGCGACATCGATTCCCGCTCACGGCCACCAACACCGGTGACAATTATCTGAGCCGTTCCTGAGCCCTCCCCTAGGTCGACTCAGCCTCAAATGAAGACCTGGTGCGGTGCGTGAAAATATCGCCACTGGGGAGACAAAGGCGGCCGGACGTGATGCTGGCCACCCACCCCCTCGTGTGCCGTGCCGGCCTTTCATCGGTGCTCCTAGCTAACAGCACTTTCCCCAGCAGTCTGTTAATGGTTGTGCTGTATCTGTATCAACGTGTGTGTGTGTGGAGCGGTGGCGCAGTGGTTAGCGCACTGTGTTACAAATATTCAAGAGCGGTCCCTTGGCTTTTCCCCAGGTCGACTCAGCCTTCAATGAGTACCTGGCGCTGAGCGGTTCTCCCTGCTGCACCCCCTGATGAAGTCCGCGCTGACCTTAATCGGCGCTCGCGCGAAGCAGCGCATGCCTCTCTTATCACGCCGAATCTCGCACCTACATCTCCGTTCTGGCGCGCGCTCTCACTCCGCCATCTCCATCACTCCCTTAGCATCTCTCCCTCGCTCGCTCTCGCTCTCTCTCGCTCTCTCTCCTATCCCATTCTTGCTCCTTCGCTCCCCCTCCCTCTCTCTTTCATCCCCCTCGCTATCCACACCCCCCACTCCCAGACACCCCCTCCCTCCTTCTTTCTTTCAGTCTCTCTCTCTCGTGTGTGTCTCTCTCTCCCTCTCTCTCTCTCCCGGCTGCACACACACACACAGAGAGCGTGAGCGTTCAACGGCGCCGCGAATTCATCGGCGCACCATCCTCTGGCAACATCACACACGAGCGCGCTCACTCACATCATTATCAGCGCCATCACCTACATCATCATCGTCGTCGTCGTCCTCCTCCTCAACATCGCCATCATCTCAGCTCTCTACGACGGCTGACAGAGAGAGGGAGGGAGGTGTGTTATATATTTTTTAATTTATTCTCTCTCGCTTCTTTCCAACGATTTTCATTCCCTCTCGCCTCATCATCTCGCAACTCGCCCCCCTCCCCTCTGTGTCTTTTTTTTATTTATTCGTCCGAGCGAGCGTGTGCGTCCGTCCGCGCTGTCGCTCTCGTCTGACCGTCTGCTTCTGCGTCGGACCACGCGCGCGCACACACACACGTGCGCGCGCGCGCTCGTAAGCCACACGCGCACGTAGGTCACGAACGCACACGCAGACACACACGCAGACGACACACACACACAGACGGCACGCGCAGACACACGCGCACGCGAGGAAGCGCTTGCCGCCTCGAATCTGTTCGTCTGTACGGCGGCTCTGACCTAGCCGCCTTCATCCCCGGGAATATTCGGAGCCGGGCTCTCTCGCTCGCTCGCTCGCTCTCGAGGAGGCGTACGGAGAGAGAGGAGAGAGTGAGGAGAGAGAGAGGAGAGAGTGAGGAGAGAGCATCCCTCAGCGTCCAAGGCTCGGCTCGAATCCTTCAACTGCCTCGCTCGGCGACTGTTCCTTGACCGCCGTCTCCGCGCTCGCAATGCGCTGAGTGGAGCGGAGACTCGGCGGCGTGCGAGGTGAGTGAGCGGGCGAGTGAGTGGGCGGGTGAGTGAGTGGGTGAGGGATGGATGGAGGGAGGGAGTGGGTGGGTGAGTCAGTGAGTTAGTGGGTGAGTGAGTGCGTGAGTGGGTGAGTGAGTGAGTGAGTGGGTGAGGGATGGAGGGGGGAGTGGGTAGGTGTGGAGTGAGTAAAATGAGTAAGGGAGTGAGGGAGAGGGTGAGCTGGTGGGTGAGGGAGGTGGAAGACATGGTGGGTGAGTAGGTGAGTCAACGTGTGGGTGGAGGATTAGACGAGGGAGTGGATAGGTGGGCGGGAGGTGGGGGGGGGGGGTGAGTATGTGGTTGAGCAGGTGCGTGAGGGAAAGGGGGAAGGAGTGGATGAGTGAGTAAACGGATGAGTTGGTGAGTGAGTAGACTGAGGGAGTGAGTGAGCAGGAGACCGCATAGCTTGCGAGAGAGTGAGTTAAGTAAGAGGGTGAGTGAGCGGTGAGTGTGAGAATTGGTGAGTAGGTGAGTGAGTGGGTGGGTGAGCTGGTGAGCGAACGGGCAGACAGGTGAGTGAACGGGGCGAGCTGGTGAGCGACAACGAGAGGATGAATGAGACGGTAGGTAGTTGGGTGGGTGAGTAAGTGAGTAAGTGGGCGAGTAAGTGAGTGGATGAGTGAGTGGGTGAGTAAGTAAGTGGGTGAGTGAGTAGGTGAGTGAGTGGGTGAGGGATGGAGTGAGTGTGTGGGTGAGTGAGTGAGTGAGGAATGGATAGAGGGAATGGGTGAGTGAGTGAGTGAGTGGGTGAGGGATGGAGTGAGTGTGTGGGTGAGTGAGTGAGTGGGTGAGGAATGGATAGAGGGAGTGGGTGAGTGAGTGAGTGAGTGGGTGAGGGATGGAGTGAGTATGTGGGTGAGTGAGTGAGTGAGTGGGTGAGTGAGTGAGTGGGTGAGGAATGGATAGAGTGAGTGGGTTAGTGAGTGAGTGGGTGAGGTATGGATGGAGGGAGTGGGTGAGTGAGTGAGTGAGTGTGCGAGTAAGTGAGTGAGTGTGCGAGATGGTGAGCGATTGAGTGGGCGGGTGAGCGGCTGACCGTCTGTACTGTCGAGACGGTGAGCGAGTAGGTGAGCGAATGAGGAGGTGAGTGAGTTCGCGGGCAATCAAGCGGCAGAGTGAGTGAGCGAGTGAGTGAGCGGGAGAGTCAATGAGTGGGTGGGCGACCCAGCGAGTTCGCGGGAAGACGGAAGGGGTGAGCGAGCGGGTGAGTGTGGATGAGTGTGGGTGAGTGGTCGAGTGAACGGCACAGAGGTATGAGGGAGAAAGGCTGGCTGCTTCTGCTGCTGTTTGTTTGAGATACTCTGTCATTGCGCCAATGCCGCTATTGCTGATGCTGCTGATGATGATGCTGGTGCTGCTGCTGATGATGCTGCTGCTGATGCTGCTGATGCTGCTGCTGATGATGCTGTTTGCTCGAGATACTCTGTCATTGTGCCAACGCTGCTATTGCTGATGCTGCTGATGAGGCTGCTGTTGATGATGATGCTGCTGCTGCTGATGATGATGCTGATGATGCTGCTGCTGATGATGCTGTTTGCTCGAGATACTCTGTCATTGCGCCAACGCTGCTATTGCTGATGCTGCTGATGATGCTGCTGCTGATGCTGATGATGATGCTGCTGATGCTGTTGCTGCTGATGATTCTGCTGCTGATGATGATGCTGATGATGCTGTTTGCTCGAGATACTCTGTCATTGCGCCAACGCTGCTATTGCTGATGCTGCTGATGATGTTGCTGCTGATGCTGATGATGATGCTGCTGCTGTTGCTGCTGATGATGATGCTGCTGCTGATGAGCAGCGCGACCCCCCCCCCCCCCGAGTGAGTGGGGGAGAGTGTGACTGGGAGAGAGTGACTGCGGGAGAGTGTGGAGAGAGAGTGAGGGGAGAGTGTGGAGAGAGAGTGAGGGGAGAGAGTGACTGGGGGAGAGTGGGGGGAGAGTGTGAGGGGGGTACGTGACTGGGGGAGAGTGTGACTGGGGGAGAGTGAGGCGATAGTGTGGAGAGAGAGTGAGGGGAGAGAGTGAGGGGAGAGTGTGGAGAGAGAGTGAGGGGGAGAGTGTGACTGGGGGAGAGTGAGGCGATAGTGTGGAGAGAGAGTGAGGGGAGAGAGTGAGGGGAGAGAGTGGAGAGAGAGTGAGGGGAGAGTGTGCAGAGAGAGTGAGGGGAGGACGTGACTGGGGGAGAGTGAGGGGAGAGTGTGGAGAGGGAGTGAGGGGAGAGAGTGATGGGAGAGTGAGGGGAGAGAGTGCAGGTAGAGACAAGAGGAGAGAGAGAGGGAGAGAGAGAGCGTGTTAATCGGAGATTATTATGGGAGAGTGTGAGGGGTAGGGAGAGCGGCGGAGTACGTCACTCGGGGAGAGTGTTCATTGGAGAGTGTTCATTGGAGAGTGTTCATTTGGAGAGTGTTAATTGGAGAGTGTTACAGAAGAGAGAGAGAGCGCGCTCACACAGAGCCAGCCACGAGCGCGGCGCCTTCATATCGAGGGATCATAATGGCCAATTCATGTTCATGATGATTAAGATTATTTCGTATCGTAATTGATGGTGATATTGATGTCGATGCTGATGATGTTGAACGTGCCACTGATGATGGTGGTTGTTTTTATTACGGAAGTCCTGCTGCTGCTGATGATGATGGTTGTTATTATCATGACGAGAGTCTTGCTGATGAGTTTCGATGATGATGATGATGATGATTCTCAGTCGTTTTCAATTCTCTACATTTAACCAATGAGGACTGATACTGCTGCTGCTGATGATGATGATGGGAGCGCGGCTGATGATGGTGATAAACCTCTGTACGTGGGATAGAAACAATTTACATTCCGGGCGCTAACTCACACGCTCACGTCTTCACCCTCAAATGCTAGTGCCTGGCATACATACCCAGTTGAACCAACGTTGGTTGACATTGGACGAACGTTGGAGGCTAACGTTGGTCGGTGTTGGACCAACGTAGCGCCGACGTTGGTTGACGTCGCACCAACGTTAGGCAACGTCAAGGTGATGATTTCCCGCTCAAAAGAGCGATGAAGCCAGTGGTGCCAATTCCACATTCCTGCGGCGAGGGCGACTCTCATCGACCGCTGCTGCTGCTGCTGCCCTCTGCTCCCCGTGGCATCGACGCCGAGGGATGATGGGCTGAGTCAAGCGCCCGCCGCGACTCTGCACTTGTGCCAAAGATAATCATGAAGAGCCCCCCCCCCCCTCCCTCCGTGTGACCTGTACAGATTGTTTGTGCAAGCACCACGCCCGGCCGGCCGGCCGCCTTTGTCTCCCCCAGCGTTGTTTCATAATTTATTTAAGCCCGAGTCTACCCAACGGGGGAGAGAATCCCCAAGACCGAAGCCAATAATCACTCGCCACCGATGGCAGTTTTCGCCGTAGGCCGGGAATCGAACGAAGACAGACGGGTTTTCTCTCGCGCCGTGCAACGCTAACCACTGCGCCACCGCTCCTCCCGTGTAACACTCACGTAGCCCGCGGCGCGTGATGCCACTTGTTACAGATTCCACGTGGGTTCGCGTCTCTCATTGACGAAGAACACGCCATGATCACGGACCCGATATTAACAACGCGGGCATCTCACGCGCACACGCAGCGGCTCTCGCAGCCTGTGGAGGTGGTGGTCTGGACAAAGCTGAGAGATGCTTTTGTACGTTCGCAATGCGCACTCAACCTGCGAGTGGCGTGTGTTCGTGGGGGAGCGGTGGCGCAGCGGTTAGCGCGCACTGCGGCGACCCGTGTCAGATTCCCGCTCAGACTCGATAACGGTGCCAGCGGACATCTCAATCGGCCTTGGGCCTCTTCTGGATCGACTCAGCCTTAAATGAGTACGCGGCGCGGTGGGTGAAACCGCTGACTCCCAATATCTGGGAGCTCGTTGTCCTGTAGACATCCGTGCTGTCGACGCCTTGAGCTGCGCTCTCGTTCACCACACTCGATATATACATTCGCATTGTGTTGTACAGACTCGCGCAGAGACCCAGAGACTCACACGGAGATCCATAGACTCACACAGAGACCCATAGACTCACACAGAGACCCATAGTCTCATACAGAGACCCATATACTCACACAGAGATCCATAGACAAACATAGAGACCCATAGCCTCAGATGGAGATCCATAGACTCACACAGAGACCCATAGACTCAAACAGAGACCCATATACTCACACAGAGACCCATAGACTCACACAGAGATCCATAGTCAAACATAGAGACCCATAGCCTCACAAAGAGACCCATAGACTCACACAGACACCCATCAACTCACACAGAGACCCATAGACTCACAAAGATACCCATAGACTCACACAGAGACCCATAGACTCACACAGAGACCCATAGCCTCACACAGAGACCCATAGACTCACACAGAGACCCATAGACTTACACAGAGACCCATAGACTCACACAGAGACCCATGGACTCACACAGAGACCCCACTGTAGACGCTGTAGCGCGCTGGCTGTGGTTCCACCGTCTGTGCGAGACGATCACGCTCACAGCACCACCACCACTGCCATCGTCCACATCCACTAGGACGAAGCGGTACCAATTTTGACGACCCCAGAGGGGATGATTGGCTGAGTCGACCTCCCACCGAGCCTGCCCGTCGCAAAAAAACTCATCCATCGATCGCGAGCCGACGATTTTGTCTGCAAATTTTGTCTGCAAATTCGCCTCCGACTTGGCTGTGATTCGATTTTGTCCTAGGGGCATTTTTGTTTTTCCTTTGTCCAGCTGGAGGAGTTCAGAAGGGGTTGGAAAGCAATTGGGAGAGGGGGTGAGGTGGGTGGGTGCTGTGACTTTGACCCTAACCCCCTACCTCCTTGTACCCATGTATGCCCTCTACACTCGTGCCCATTTAGTCCGTGGATTAATCCGTCTCTGAGAGAGATGTTTCCAGCGATAACCCGCGAGCACACCAGCTGTTGGGTGGTCGCGGGAGCGGTACAAGTGTGTGTCTG